ATTCCGACAGTGACAGTGACTCCACTTTGGGATACAGCGATGATGAAGATTCCAGTGATGAAGTTCAAGGAACATCAGAGTCAGTGTATATAAAACTGTATTTGTAGATGTTCGGGGATCTCTTCCAAGCTCTGTAATTTCACCGGAAGTGTCTAACTTCTCACAAAATGTTTTAAAAGAAACTACTATTAACTATTAAAAGCTTTGCTTTTAATTTTTTAAATCAATGATGTGCTTGTGAGAATACTTGAGAATTAGCCAGGCAGTTGCTAGCTTTGCAATGGTCCATTTTTAAATCACTATTATTACTGGTAATGCTGAAATCAGCTAATGTGCAGGCACAGAACTATATAAACATAAGGTTTTGTTTTTAAAGACTGTGAGCATGTTTTGTCTGGATTGTTATGTATATAACACAATTTATTTAATACAAAGTAGCAAGCTTCACTACTGAGCAAGCAGAGTCCTGTGTAGTTAGTGTGGGCATTGCCTTACAATTCTTGATGTATAATAGTCTCAAGAGCAATCCCCAAAAACTTAGAAATTGCTAGATACATACCAACAAGTAAGAATGAAGGAAATCAAGTTAATTTTTTTTAAAAAAAATCTCCTTCCATGTTTTTCTTTCTCCATGTCTAAGCCAGCAGTATATGTATACTTTTCTAGCTTGGTCAATATTCTCTATAAAAATATAATAACTGTGGATGGCTAAAATGCTTAGTGACAACATAAAGTCTTTAGGATCCTCCTCTATTATATGTACTTATAACATTAAACCAAAATCCAGATCACATACATTTTTACCACAGTCCTTGAACCCACAATAGAAACAAACATACAAATCCAGCTGGACCAGGACTGAACGAGCATGTGAGCAAACCGGACTCTCTGAATGTGGCTGACAATGGGGGCTGACTGAGAAGCTATCGATAATGGCACTGGGACCTGTTTATACTGCATGTACTGGCTTTTTGAGACTCTAGTCTATTTGTATGCACACCTTCCTAGGCCTGGATGGAGGGGGGAGGGCTGTGGACTTCCCACAGGGCAAGGTACCCTGCCCTTTCTTAAGGATTTAGGAGGAGGAAGAAGGGGGAGTGGGGGAGCAGGAGGGGAATGGGAGGAGGGGAGGAAGTGTAAATTTTTTAATGGAAAAATAAAAAAGAAACAAACATACACAATAATCACGGTGTTGGTAACTTTTCCCATTAATACCCTCTCTTTAGAAGCATGCCCACCCAAGTGGAAGATTAACATATTTCAAAGTCAAGCCGGGCAGTATTTTTGTTCCTCAAAGAAGCAGGGTCTCAGAGTATTTCTGGATACCTGAATAGAGGGGCAGTATTACCCGAATACTAGAAACAATGGTTCTGTGACAGCGGCATGAGTAGGGGTCAAATGAACTTAGCTGCCTAGATGAACTAGCAGGACATCATTATAAAACTGGACAGCAGTAACTTAAGAGTTAAATGTCTATCAGATTTATTTTGTGACTGGACACCAAAATATTTTGATGCTGGCTTCATTAACAAGTATAATTTTATGATAGATATTATGAACGCTGCTCAAAAGTTATTCTGTGTTTTAATACATATATACTTATTGTAAAATTTAACACTGAGCATATGAGTATATGAGCAGTGTGGATTTGTGGAAAGAATCAGATTCGGAGAACAGTGAATCTGTGTTCAAATACCAGGAGTGCAATTCAAGAGCTGGGTCAGATTATTGATGTATTATGTAGCTTGTATTCTCATGTGTACATCTTAGATAAAATAACTGCCATTTGTTATATTCAATAAATGATATTTGTATGAATTCTTTTTATACCATTCTTAATATATGCTTGTGTTTAATATGCAACTTTACTAGCTAGGTCAATATTCTGTATAAAAACACAACAGCTGTGGATGGCTAAAATGCTTAATGGAAATATAGAGTCATTAGGATCACCCTCTATTTTACGTATATTGTAACATTAGTACCTGAACCCAGGTTATATTTATAAATATAAAATATTTTGTTGAATTTCTTAATACTCTCAATATTTTTTACAGTATATATAAAAATTTTTCTGCTTCAGGAAAACAATGTATTCAATATAAAAAGTCTGTCTAATCTTGATAATATAATAAAATCTTAAACTGTTGCTTATTTATGATTAATAGATTAAAATTTATATCCACAAAATATATCCAGAATTAAATTCAGAATTAAAGACTATTATTTATATTATCTTTAAAATTCTTAATAGTCAATATGGAAATATTTCTAAATAGGCAATTTCCAATTTTATTTTTTCCCTCCTATTTGGCAGCCAGGTAAGAGAGAGAGAGGAATCTGAGTAGTATATATAGCCCAGGATGGCCTTGACTTCATGGTCCTCCAAGAGCTCGGATACTGGAGTTACAGGTGTGCATCCACATAGACAGTCTAAAAAGGCAACATTATAAGTAGTCAAGATAAAGACAGATATGGAAGAGTAGATTTTAAATGATGTGTTTATAAAGCCACGGTAGTGTTGTTGTTTTAAGAAGCTATTTGTGGTGCCTTATGATGCCAAAAACACATGGTGAGAATAAGTTATTCACAACTTGCGATGCCCACGGGAATGATGCACTTCTCCTGGCTGTGTTTACTTCACACACACAAATCACCTTCTATAGAAAATGGTAATGGGTCTGAAAATATTTCATCCGCAGTTCTCACTTGGTGGCTGGGTAAGAGTGACAGCGAATGGCTTCTGTTCTTTCAGTGCGAAAACTGAGGTTTACAGAGCTTACAGTTTGTAGATCTTGGATTCACAGCAGGTTCCTGTGACTCTGAAGTCTTAGGGCTGGATAAATAGATCAGCAATCAGGACCACGTACTGCTCTTGCAAAAATCCCCAGTCCCATGCATTTCTTTAGCATACACTCGATAAGCAGCTCCTATATTGGGCATTAAGGATTAAATAGGAAGCAAATATAGCCATCATCCCTCACCTCTATATGGCTTAGCAGAAGAGAGATTGAATCCCTAGCTGAATAACCACATAAATAAATATAGGAATTATGAACAGGGATAGCCAGTTCCGTGTGGAGAGATGTAGAGTGAGGAGAACAGATACACAGGGAAGCCCATGAGCTAATTCAGGATGGCATGCCTCGGGAAAGGGCACTGGGAATAGGATCCAAAGGACAAGCAAGGGTGGAGGAGGTATCCAGTTGGAGAGAAGCTGCTGAGGCCTGAGAACAGCAGGTTATGAAGACGGTAGGATGGAGGAGATATGTTTGCCAACTTTGAAAAGAGGCCATGTTCCTTGGAAGGCAAAGAATGTGAAGCAAGCATGAGAGGCTCACACTGGTTATCATAAACATTTTACAATCAGAGGAAAACTTGGTGTTGGGGGTGGTTTTATAATCCTTTTTCTGGTTTAAAAACAAGAGGGATGATCTGGGGGAGAGGGGAGGTAGGGGAGGTACTGGGAGAAAAGGAAAGAGGGGAAGTTGCAGATGGGATGCATTTGGATAAAAGAAGAATAATAAAAATAAATTCAAAAATAAAATCCAGAACAAGGAAGACCTTTCTTCTTTAAAGAGCAACCAGTATAACACAAAAATGGAAAAGGTGTGTAGGAGAAACCTAATCTGTGGGACCGAAGAATACTTTTCATGAAATGTCAGGCAATGGGTGCAGAAACCTGTAAAATCTCATTCAAAAGTGTAAAAGTAGACTCCAGTAAGGGAAAGGCATGCCATAATCTTGTCTGGAAAAATTAATATCAGAAACTGTTGCTTCTGGATTAATTCAATGCCAATGTGGTTTTCTTTAAAAGAAGAAAAATAAATGATTTTCAGGTCCGTATCAAATAATGAATGCTGAAGAATAGAACAAGGGTATATTGGAAAAATAATGTTAGTGAAAGAATTTTTGTTTTTGCTTTCCCAAGTACCAAATGTTGTTTCTGTTAAGCAGCTGTAACCCAAACAAGATGATATAGCAAAAATGAAGGACATAACAAAAGGCAGGTCAATGGGAAAATTACAGAATTTAGAGTATGTGTCAGAACTTGATGTATCTTCAGTAGTAAGCACTGGGAAAATCTTTATTTTCAACACTTTAGTTGTCTGGTTTGGGTGGAACATTGTATTTCGTGGTTTGAAAACATATCAACACAATATTTATCTATGCAGTTACCTCTGTGACATGTTTTAAACGTACTTGTCATTAATCATATTAGCTTTAAAATGTTATCGTAAAAGAAGAGGGTACACTGTCAGGTGTGATTTAATGTAATGACAATAATAATATTAAGTTTATGGTAGCTGAAAATGATTTGTGAAGTTAATTTGCCAAATCCATTTTTCACAACCGAAGATACACCAGGGAAGATTTTCAAAAAGCCTCAGAGACAGACGTCGCCTGCTATCATTAAAAATGTGTTTTTGAAGAGATAATCTTCATATATTTAGGTCACTGTGAATCATATTTATCAACTACTCGAAGAACCATGAGCTGTGGGACACATGAATAGCTAACTATATATCATAAAGTCCCCAAACCTTAGTTACATAAAAAGTGATAAGACATTAAGAAAAGTATTTAAAACTGGTACTTTGAGCTCAATGATACAATTTCAAATTGATAACAGATGAATTAGATACTCTGTTTCAAGGGGTATGTCTTTAGACTCTTTCAAAGCTTTAATCTATCCATGCCCATCTTGATCACCACGCAATTAATTCAGAAATCCCCAAAGAATAAAGGAAACAGTCTTACAAAATTTTCTTCTAGTTGTGTAAATGAAACTTTTAATTTGATAATTGTAACAACTGTGTTATAACTGCAGGAAATATGTGATTTATAATATGAGTGAAGTAGCTCTTCACATAAAGCCTAAACCTGAAAATGCATAAATCAAAAGAGTTTATATGCTTTGGTTCATGGATGTGTTGCCCTAGTCGCTTCCCTTTTGTCTTGAGGCTCTATCCTAATGTGTCTATTTTTATTTTATGCAGGGAGGATGTGAGAACAGCAAACGTAATTGCTGCAGAGGCCGTCACTTGCCTTGTGATTGACAGAGAGTAAGTACATTGCTTTTTCTATGTATAGCACACACTCATATCAGCAATATGCATATTTCTGGAATTAGACATCATTTTTCAGAGCTTTAATACATGTTTAAAATCTTTTTCTTGTAACATGAGTTCTGTATTTTATCCTCATATTAGTCTTAGAAGAGGCTAGCTCTGTCAATCTCGCTTTGTAATCTTTAATAAGATGCTTAACCACTATGAACTACAGCTCCAGAGGCTCGCTTAAAAAGTGAAGATAAAGCAATATCATAGAGAGATTTTGAGGATTAGTAAGAGCCTGTAATTAAAGCATTTGCTGAGTACCTTCTACTATGCAGGTGCTTACCTAGTGCTGGCTATTTTGGTGTCTTTCTTAAAGCCATCATTGTTATTGTTTTGAGTATATTTAGATTTCTTTTCTGTTTATCCTGAGACTCCTACACCAGAAGCCCCAGGGAAGACACCCCTGTAAAAGCCATCCGCTTTAAATGTGGACAAGTGCCCGTTTAGAGAAATGAAAGGCTGTCTCATGTCGCCCATCACTACCTTGTCTCTTCTCTTCATTATCATTTCTGGTAACTGTAAACGTCAGGTTATTGTCACTAGAAGAATATTGCTCATATGCATCCAAGTCACATGGAACCAAAAAAGCAGATTTTTTTCCTCAGTGCAGTGCGTGAGCAAGTTTCTCAGAAAGGCCGAGGGCCTGGCCCAGAGAGAGCTGATAGCAAACCACACTAGTGGACCCTCATAGCTGCCTGAGACTTTATGCTGCAGTGAACTACAGCCGAGGAATAGAGAGCAAAGCTCAGATAGCACTGAGTGAGCCCAGGGGACTCAGGGTGGGGAGGTTTTCAATTTGATCCACAATCCTGACTTTTGAGGTCCCTTCATGCAGGATCATGAAAAGCTAAGCCATGGCACAGCTGTCACTAGATGGCTGCATTCACAGAAAACTCTGAAATGGCTGTTCTGTCCTTGGTCCCAGAACCAACAATGATCTGTCCTTGCTGCCTTGACAGAGCTTATATTCTACTGAGAGTCTACCATGTACAAAGCATGGCACTAGGTAAAGAATCAAATGTGGGGAAGAGTCTGAAAGTGTCAGGAGGGCAGTGTAAGGAGTCACCTGAATGAGCAATGAAACCGTGAGCCAGCTTCCACCGGCAGGAGGAAAACTGTGGAAAGATTGTCAGAAGATATTTTATAAGGCCTACTTGAGACAGTGGGATGAGGACTTGTTACCATAGCACTGTGATGCTATAGCAACAATTCTGGTAATACCGAGTGCCCAGTCTCCTGTTAACAAATGATACCAAATGATAAACTTAACTGGAAGTACTGTATAAAGTGAATTATGGAGGGAGGGTTTGAAAATGGAATATTCAGTTGGGAGTCGAATTCTAGCCAATGATCATGAACTCATTTAAAGGGGGAATGTGTAATAATGAATAGATTTTTAACAACAGGTAATATCAAAGGGTTGACTATCTGACAAAATTAAAGACCAAGAAATAAATTTAGGATATTGTTAGGACAGAGAAAGTTAGATGTGGAAGGGACATCAGATTGGGAGGCATGATGATATTCCATTGAGAATGAAATCCATTTGTGTGCAATCGCGGATGCTTAAGACAAATGTTCTGCAGGAAGTCACAGATGTGGACAGGAGCTCATGTACCACTACCATAAAATTAATATTAACACTGCCTACATAAAATTAACAGCTGAAGTCATCAGGTGGGGTGCAATCCCATGAAAGAACAAAAATAAAGATTAAAAAAATGGGAACTTGTTGAAACTTAGTTAAGTTCAGACAAGGGAAGAAAAACAGATAAAAGAGAAGCCAAGGGGGATAGGAAGGTAGAGAAAGAGGACATCTCAAGGATAGAGAGAAATTAAATCCCAAGTTAGAGAAATAGACAATTGGTGAAATATCAATTCACTGTCAAGAGTGTTCAAAGAAAACTGGACTAGACAGGGTTATGTTGCATGGCAAGGACAGGCTGGCTTCTCAGATAGCAAGATACTAAATTATAGTTAGATATGACAAGTGCAAAGACTGATGCTCAGTGTGGTAGCTGCACATATTATGTATATTTCATAAAGCTAGAAGAAAGGACCTTTAGTGTTTCCCCTGAAGACAGACAGAGGTAGATATACTTCACTGATTTAAGTATTATATAAAGTATGCAAGGATTAAAACATCATGTTACCCTACCAACACATGCATGTGCGTATGCACACACGTGCACATATAAGCAATTGATATGGTTTAGTGTATAAATTAAAATGAATGTAAAATTAAAAAGGGAGAATAATGATAAGTGTTAGAAAGACTACAGATAAATGAACTCATATTGTTGATAGCAATGCAAATTAGTGTAAAAATAATAAATTACCATTTGATTAACTAATGCTGCTCCTGGATATTTTTCTAGAGGGACTAAAAATATGTGTATCAGAGGTCTATGAACACTTTGCCATCATTGCAGCATTATTTATAATAAGCCAAGATATGAAAACAACCTAAGCGCCCATCAGGGACAAATGTGTAAAGAACATACAATACACATCACATTTATATAAAGAGTATAGAGTAAATATTACTCAGCCCCTTAAGGGGTGAAGTCCTACCCTTTGTAACAACATAGGTGAACCTGGAAGACTGCTAAATGAAATTGGCCATGCAAAAAAAGATAACACCTGAGCTCAATTAAGGAAGTCAGAAGGGAAGGACAAAAGATGGTTATCAGAAGCTGGTGGGTAGAGAAGGGAATAATAGGGAGTTGTTGATCAAAGAATAGGCAGAAGGGACCTTAAGGTCAGTTGCACCTTAGAATAACTTGGAAATGTTGCTGTTGCTATTATTTTGTTTTGCTTTTGAGGCACATCTCACTGTGAGGTTCTGCCTGACCTAGAACCCACTACATAGACCAGGCCAGCCTCCAACGCAAGGAAACCTGCTTGCCTCTGCCTCCTGAATTAAAAGTGATTAAAAGTGTGCACCACCTCACCCAGCTGAAGTTTTATGTGCTTAGAAGATCAGTGAAATGAGAGGCTGGTCCAGGCAGCTATGAGTCTGCGTGCTACAGACTGAGTTTGAAACAAACTTTACCTAAATATATAGAACCTGTATCCAAAAAATACATAAATAAACAACAGTGAAAATAAACTTCAAGTGCATTATAAAAAAAGAAAGAAAGGAGAGAGGGTGTTTGCACTTACTGCTTTGGTTTAGTCTTCCTGCATGGCACACACATTTCAAGATGTGTGTGTCTTGAAATACATACAAACCATGCCTGGAATACATCTTAGTAGGCTGAAGCAGAAGGAAGGACTGTAGGGAAGACCTGGTCCACAGTGAATTCTAGGTCATCCTGGGCTACGATGTGGATCTGTCTCATAAAAGACGAAATTCCAGAATAAAATAAAAATAAAAATACAGTTGCTTAAATACAGGAAGAGAGGGGGATGGTAAGCTTTACCTTAGTTTTAAAGCTTTCCGATGATGAGTTTGAGCAGATATTCATATAGAGGGAATAATTGAGATGCTGAAGGAAAAGCTGGTCATGGGTTATAACACGTCTGGAGACTGTGGACAAGTGATGGAAGGCTGTTTCAAATTCACATCCTCCTTATTTTTTCGTTTTATTTTTTCTAAAAAAAAACCTCTTAAAATAGTCAAAACATAAGAGAGGATGGTTAGGAAGTCAAGGTATGTTGTACTTTACTTAAGAAAAGCTATGGAAATTTATATGATCTTCATACTGTCTCTAACGCATAAAATAGAGAAACTGACAAAGACAGGAATGAGAGTGGTTTGGAGTGTAACAGCTGAGTAGGGACTGCAGGGTGGTCACAGCACCTTGTGCCCTGCGGTCCTTTATATGCCATACATGTTCACGTCTGTGTGACGTTGCCTGAGAGGTAGGGAGCATGCTTTACAGAAGACAGGGTTGAATCCCGCTGAGGTTTAGTATGATGGGTTTTAGAGTAAATAGAACCCACATCAACTTGACCGTGGAGGGAAAACTGGACAGGACTTTGAGGATCTTTATCATTTCATCTTGCTCCGTCTCTTCTGCCCACTGATGTCATAAGAGCTAAAGAAGCATCAAATGGCTTTGCACACACATGTTCTCCCTCAGCCTTCTCTTTTCCCATCCCTTGGCTTATCGACCGTGCAGTAGAGATGGATAGGTATTGTCAACAGAGCTCAACACTTGAATGTTGACCAAACCGTTCTATGAGAATATGAAAAACTACTCAAACTCTAAATATCACTTTCATTTTCAATGAGATGATGGGATAATATTACCTAAATTATAAAATTGAGATAAAAGCAAATAATTTAAGATGTATGAAGGAACGTGCTTAGCAGAACATGTGTGATAAGCTCTGAAAAACTGCGTCCTTCCCCCCATATGTATATATATCACAGAGAGGTCCAGTTTTAAACATAAATACATAAAAAAGGCAAATTGAGTATCTAAACCTAGGTTTATGACTTTTAGGGAATATCTTGAGTCTCCAGCAAAGCAGTGAATTCACAGCTGAAAGAGAGAGAGAGAGAGAAACAAAGACAGAGACACAGAGAGACAGGATCACAGACAGAGACACAGAGAGAAAGATTAACTGCAATGGCGGGAACCTGTCAAAGCTGCTGCTGGTACCTAATTTATGTCCAATTAGAGGAGCACCAGGGCGTCATTCTGTGCAAACAGATGGCAGACATTAGGACTGTCAGCAAAAGGAGCTCCCTTCACTAATTTACAAGCTAGGTAGCATGTTCCATAAGCCAGCGGCTGTGCTTTCCTAGGGGAAGCACAAGAACACCACTGTAACCAATCATAAGTGTCAGACGTCGGTTCGAAAGAAACGCTCATTGTCAGATCAGAAAATAATGACTAGCGAGCTGTTCCCTCCAACAGCATATCCTGAAGATTATTATCTTTTATCATATTCATTATCTTCAGACCCTCCAATGTTGGTCCCCCAGTGCCATT